ATTTGATATTGTAACTCTCACAAACCCGGTCTTCAAAACGATACTCATTTCGATCTGAAAACGATATTTAATTTATTACTAGCGACACAGAAACATTTAAATATATTTAATGTTATATAATGAAACCGTTAAAGTAGCTTTTTCTTTTTGTTTTACTGTTAAACTACAACTATAAATGAAGTAAACAAACCCTGACACAATCAAAATTAAACACACTTTTTGGACTTACCTCATTTGATTTGAATGACCAAAATGATTTCAAAACCTTTTTTCCACCCAAATCGTGGTATCACAACAATTTATTACTTGAAAATATTTGTTATTTTATCATTTCGATATTTTTTCACAAATATACGACCTAAATGTCAATGTGACAGAGCCCACAAAGTTGTGGACGCTAGTTGGCGCTGTAATCGTGCACGGAGCCAATATCGCTACATACAATAAAGGTGTGTGCATCAGTTCGTTTGCCTGCAAACTGGCACAAGTACGACCAGTACGAAACCAGACGCCTTTGTTTGACTTGTTCAAACGAGGAATGCAAATAGATCGAAAATTTCATGGGTAATATTTGTTTGTCAAACATGTCTCGCATTTCTAATTTTTCATGTTTTTAGGCAGTATATCATTATTTTTATTGAATATTAAGTAGGTTGTACAAGTCAGCATCAAATAATTCGTGACACCCAAATGTAGCCAAAAAGTTCGCAGCACGTCTTTGTTATATTTAAAACTAGCTTTCCGCCCGCGGCTTCGCGCGCGTGGACACCTGAACCCTATGTTTTTCCAAAATAAAATTTAGCCTATGTTACTCGTGGATAATGTAGCTATCGAATGGTGAAATAATTTTTTAAATCGGCCCAGTACTTTTTGAGCCTATTCATTACAAACATACAGAAATAGGTACAAATCTTTTCTCTTTATAATATTAGTGTAGATAAGGTTGTGTTGTCAACTTTTTGGCCTCTTTGGGTGTCACAAACTATTTGATGCCGACTGTAAGCCTAGGCGCAGACCACCGAGTTTTAGTTGGCCGATAGTTGGGTCGGCCTGTTGATCAGTATGGAGATGTATGAAAGTGCGCACATTACACCGATTTGATTTGGCCGACAAAACAGTTGGATGGGCTTCCCAACTGCCTTCATAAGACGCTACAACGGTTCTTGATATATCCGTACATTTTAATAGATTTAACAATATCCTTTGACTTTTTTCTTTATGCTTAATAATGTTTCAGCAAACAAAAAATACATCTGAACGCGATTCTATCAGATGTGTCCGTTCGTTGATTTGTGAATTTTCTTAACAAGGTGTGATGTTTCATCTCTTTAAGTGAACGCAACGGTATTGTTTCGTAAAAGATCTAGCTAGAGTTTGATTGATTTTTTTGTTATTGTTTCTGGTAATCCATAATGGCTTAGAAAGGCAATATGTTATAACTTATAAAAAGAGAAGTTAATAAAAAATTGCTATTATCATTTCTCAAATGTAGAAGCATACTTGAGAGTTATATCCTCAGACGTGCCTAAAACATTAGGAAAGTGAAAAATTAATTTATTTATAACACTAACTGCCATGTATAATTTGGTCTTGTATTTTTTAAACCCGACCTGATAACCGGTTATCAGCGGTTATCTGTGTTAAGGTTGCCGCGACCTTTCTCAGGACGTCCTGCAGATTTGTTGATTGACATATTATGTAACTTTAAGAATATGCTTCAGATACATAATTTTCCTATGTCCAATAAAAATACTACAGATTAAGTTGACAAGAAGTCAAACTAGCAATAGATCAAACTAGTGCGTCCATTTAGACTTGAGGTTTGAGAATGGTTTAAGAACAGGTACATTTTTAGATATTGAAGCTAACTTTGTGTCACTACACATATTTTTAGTAAATTTCGAAGTAGGTAAGTATTGTTATTTAGAATTCTTTGTCATTATCTTTTGTAATTAAAACAAAATTAATTAATTAACGTCGAAGCAGATGATTATTTAGAAACCGCTACTTACAGAACAAATAGTAATATCTTCATTAACAAGATTGTGTTTTGAATGCTTATTGATGAATGATATAAGCAAGAACTCCATCAATATTGCATGGATTATTCACTTTCTTAAACATTGTATGCGTGGACGTGTTGCATGCTTTTCTTCTCATTATATGATATGCATCTACAGTACATTATTGCCGGATAGTGAAATTTAAATTATCAGTTGATAATGCAACTTTTCTTGATATAATTGTCGATTATTTGATCGTCATATTGATAGCGCAGCTTCGAAAAAGTTCAAATAACGTAGGTATTTTAGCCAGAAGTTGCACAAAAAATATAGCCAGAAACTACCTATCTCCATTACTCATTCAAAATAATCAGTATGTAAACAAAGGTGATTCCGTGTACCAGTCATTTTAATCTCATCAAATGTTACATAAAAAATCATATTATACAACCGGAATCCATTGTTTTGGCTCTATTATGGAGCATTGTTTTTGCAAAACGTTAACGTTGCATGGTGTTTAATTGTCTTATTAAATAGTGAATCAGGCAGGTTAGTTTTTTTCTTATGTCTATTAGTTGAATAAACAAACGTGTTAATAAAGAAGTCTTCAAGATTGCATATAATAGTTTCAACTTCTTGTCACTTCAGTAAATGTTGTGCTTTTTCTTACTTCTTTAACTTCACTTACTGAATGAATTTTACCTTAAGTGACAACTAAAATAACCAGTTTTTCAATGGAAAACACAACAATAGCCCATGACATCACCAGGTGATATGAACTCGATATCATTATCACCTATCATCCTCCGATAGCGATAAATTCTCAGATACGAGAAATGGAACAAGTAGGTATACTTTATCGGTACATCGGTTTCTGAAACGTGGAAAAATATACAACAAATTCCAGTATTACACGAACATCGTACATCCTCTATGTTAGCATTCTTTCGCTAGTAACTTTCTAAAGTATTTCATAAAAGGAACCAATTAAAAAAGATACACAAACGCTCCAGAACCTTCTAAGACATTTTCAACGCAATATTTTCTAACAAGAAAAAACTTATGCATTTTAAACAAAACTATACTAAAACCATGCTTCCAAACTTGATGGAAACCACAAACCATGCGAATGTAAATCCTAACCATTAAGAGATAAAGCCTACAGCAATTAAGCTGAATAACAAACAGTATTGTGGTTTAAACGTCCCATTGCCAAATTCATGAGCGTAGATTTGACTCCCACACTTTCCTATTACGACAGATCGTATAGAAAGCGTAAGGTCAGATTCAAAACGCATGTTAATAATGAACTCTATTAACTATTTATACCTCTTAAAGTTGATAAACAATTTGATTGTCAAGTATTACTAATCATACCTAAACCTAATGCTCAAATTAAGAAGCTTGAAATTTATTTTTTCTTATGGATTCTGCAAAAAGGTTGGAAATATGACTCAATAAAAGAGTCATGTTTTATTTGACTCTTAGCGACAATCCAAATTGTATAAAACTGTTTCTTTTTTACAATGCAGATAAGGTTTTGACGTCAATCTGCTAGTGTTGCAGCGTTGACTCATGTCTACAACTCTACATGTGATCTAAGTTTTGCATTTCAATTTGACCGCGTTAGATTGGGCGATACAAATGCAAATGGTGGCTTTGACATGGCTTACGACGATATTATGTTTTAACTGGTGCGTTAAACTGAACCATCAACTAGTATTTATGAAGTAGTTGATGGGAATGTTCTAATAAACGGACTGGCTTATTCAATCAATAATGTAAATGGTATTAAGATCTTGGTAAATGCCGACGATGCAATTGATTTAACAGAAGCGGTCAAAAAGAACTCATTGTGTAAATAATTGGAAAGGAACAATACAATGCTGATTAAGTCTAAGAATGGAAAAAGCAAGAACACTGCCGAAACGGTATAGCATTAACCCAAACCTGATTCAGGCAGACCTTGACAGTATAAAAAGGCTCGCAGCCACGCAAATTTAAAACGCCGGGCGGATTTTATCTTTCACTTAAAATTTATTCTCTCTCGGCATCGTTCAGATACTTTCTGTGCAATTTGTACAAGAAATAATTGTGCAGCATCGTGACTGAGTAAAGTCGACCACACGGTTTGCAGGACACGACATTTTATCTCGACATTATTACTTCTTAAATACAGCCTTAATACTTTTACTTGTTATTCGAATTCCGTGTCATCATTTACTTGTTGCATTAAAGTAGATACTAGTGCTACTTTTCCGTTATATACTTCAGCTTTAAGTCTATCACTTGGGTCATTTTTATAAACGCCCGTTGAATAGTCTGTTGCAACTGCGGAAACCAAGGCCCAATTGCGCCGTTTCACTACAAAACCTTCCAAACCAAATCTATCAAGCATAACAATAATTGCTGCTAACCTATTAAGTAGATAATTCAATTTATCAACAATATCTAGCCGAGTTTTATCATAATATATGCCACATGCCACCTCAAGGTTATGTCAACACAGCTAATTACAATCTTATGCCACAAAAGGCAAGAGTTAATGGATAACCAAGCAATAACCTCGGCGAACGACCGATTTGAAAATGTAATTCCGAGTGAAATGACTCGATATTGTGGTCCGACCGAGCGAGTTGTCCTCTCCAACGCTAGATATGACACAAAAAGGAAATAAAACGTCAACCTGTTTGGCAGCGAAATTGAAAGCGACCTAGAACCGTGCACAATAAAACGTGAGAGATCATAGGAAACATTTGTGTCCGTATAAATTTTACCCGTGCAAGGTAATTGAACTTTCCGCGGTGCTAAATCTTAGCAACTATTACACAGGCACTACAATCTGTAGATCCACGAGTTATTAACCGAGTCATCGGAGCGCGACACAACGGTATCGATGCGATCCGATCCAAGATACGTCGTTCCGATCACTTTTAAACTGCAAACCTGTGCACTTGATCACATACACGAATCACTTGGGGGTTCACAATCACATACTTTGGGAATAGTTTTGTTGTTGGCCAGCGATACGGCCGTCCGGTGCGGCGCGCGGGAGGAGACTAGCGCGGCTGCTTGCGCGGGCGCCGCCGCCTGTTCACGGTTATCAGCCTTAGGGGGGAGGGAGGGGGTGAAAGAAAAAAAAGTCCGCACGTGACGTCGAGATAAGCGCACCTCAAAAACTGGGCATTTGACATTGTGTGCTCTACTAACAGACCGTTTGATTTGGTGACAATAGTAAATTAAAACATGGTGTGTGGTTTGACGCATTAAGGTGTTAGTATAGTAACACGTTATGTTTTTAAAAATTGACCAACACTTAGATTTACAAAAATGTTTCATATCTATGAATTAGGACCTGTAGAATTTTGGACATAGCTCTGTCCTTTCTAACTTGAACAAAACCAGGTTGTAAAACAAAAACAAATGTCAGGTGGGTTTGCACTGCACCTGTCGAGCATCAGGCCGCATCGCTTCCTGTGGCTCGAAGCTTTTCGGCCCCATTTGGCAAAGTTAACTTTTGGACAACAATTCAGTTAACGTAGAAACGTGGTACAAGCTCCGTAGTTTGATAGTCCACTATATCTGGATGAGTACCTATGGAAGTCTTGAAATGGGACGTTTATGATATCCGTTATTAAGATGCTTGATTGGTGCAAATTGCGATGCGCGTTTCAAGATTTTTGGATTTACATTGCTAAGTAGTAATGCATATGCATTAGACAGATCTGATCTGATGCTGATAATATGATAGGTTTATTTATATCCTTCGGTTCCGATATAATAAATAAACTAGATAATTTTATACTTAGCGAGAATTTGTACTTAATAGAAGATTGTCGAAGAGAGAGATTAAGATCTTTCTATTAAGTAATCATATACCTACATTTTAACTAATTTATAAAAATAAAGAATACGCAGTTCTATGTAAATACGTAGGGGAAATGAAACAAGTGGTTTATTACAGCAAGCTTGAATTAAACATCCAAAAGCTCCATTTAGAGGCATCCCCTCGAGTCCATAATGAAATTGTCCGTGAACTCGACCACTTAGGCTACTAGCACTACCTAACTTTAACCGTAACTACACTCGACATCAAATAAATCGCACCTCCCGCGACAAGCATTTTGAAACGTATGCTTCCCCACTTCCCACCAATATTGGCACCATTTGAAAGCCTAGTTCTAACCTTCATTTCATTAAAGGAAAGGTTTTTACCCCAAAAATGTATCTTTAGAAGGATCCAGAGTCAATTCTTCAAAAAATAGGTAGTTACGCTAGAGCCAACTTTTATGGCTATAAAACTGTTAAGTTGGGATTAATCGCTATCCATCTGTTAAAGAGGACACGTGAGATCATTATTTGGTTTTATAACCATAAAAATTGGTCTAATTGATCCCATAGGTGGGCCCAAAGTGAGGTATTTNTTGGGATTAGTTGGGATAACCCAGACACATTATAACATTAATAAAAACCCGTGTTGTTATTAAATTTCATCCGATTTCAACAGTTTTAATTAAAAGACTCGAGACCCGAGAAAACTCGAGACTTTGGCCTCGAGAATTCCCGAAACTCGAGAAAAAAAATAAGTCGAGAAATCAGAAACCCTAGTAGTAATAAGATGCTTGATTGGTGCAAATTACGATGCTTGTTTCCAAGATTTTTGGATTTACATTGCTAAGTAGTGATGCATATGCATTAGACAGATCTGATGCTGATATGGTAGGTTTATTTATATCCTTCGGTTCCGATATAATAAATAAACTAGATAATTTTATACTTAGCGAGAATATGTACTTAATAGACGATTGTCGAAGAGACGATGAGATATTTTTATTAAGTTATAATAATAATATACCAAAATTTTAACTAATTTATAAAAAAAACTAATTTATCCTTCATATTTTAGCATTAGGGAATAACAAATACGCAGTTCTATGTAAATTACGTAGGGGAAATTAAATAAGTGGTTTATTATAGCAAGCTTGAATTAAACATCCAAAAGCTCCATTTAGAGGCATCCCCTCGAGTCCATAATGAAATTGTCCGTGAACTCGACCACTTAGGCTGAGTTGCACCACCTAACTTTAACCGTAACTATAGCGATAACCGGTGTTTTTTGTATGGAGTTTGACAGATTTTTGACGTTTGTCAAAGTTAAAGTAAGATGGTGCAACCCAGCCTTGGTGTACGATTACGATTAACAAATGACTGTATCATGTACCGGACGGTTCATCAATACCAGTCGATCATGGGACCACCGCGGTTTCCATCGGTCATGGTGCGGCATCGGTAGAGAGTCGGGGAAACAAACTATGCTATTTGGTACGTTGTTTGACCATGAAATTGTGCGTTTCCATTGACAAGAAAAAAAGTCTTGACTCTACAAAAAATCGATCGTCAAAAGTATTGTTTATTCGTGGTTTCACGTCCAAGGACTATTCGGAATTTAAGTAAATTAGAGATAGAGTTGTGTGTGAGATAGAGTAAAGGAGGGCCGTCTTCACTTTTCCCGTGGATGTAGTAAAAGGAGACTAAGGAACCAACTAGTCTAGCAAGGGAGGGATTGTAACCCAAGTCTTCCATTTACCTCTGTTAAATAAACTAGAGTCTAAAGAACTGCAGTGGAGACTAAATGATCCTCCCCCCCTTAGACAGTGACACAAACGCCCGTATTCTTTTCAAAATCAAAATCTTTTGATTTGATTTTGAAAAAAATACTTGAACTGAATAAATACTTTTGTATTTATTCAGTTTAGACCACAAGTGGCACTTATGATATTACTAACATTACTATGAGGTCTCACAGTGCACGTGGACGGACAGGGTGACACACGAACCTGCCACAGAGCTCTATTCAGTGCTATGCGTTCGATTTGCTGCTTCAACATGCAAGCATCGTTTGTGAATACAGGCGTAAGAACGCTCCGAAACAGAGCCAAGTACACCATAAAAAAACCCGGAGGCTATTTGAAAATACAATTTACCACTCTGGTCTAGGGAGGCCGATGATGGTGAAAGATCCACATGCATTTGAGGAAAAAAAAAATTTATGGAAGCATTACTATGTAAACCTCCGCTAAAGTCGCATCGACGTAGATTGGAAACCAGCACTAGAACAGTTGCGCGTGAGTCACCGGCCGCGGAGCGTGTAATGACTTGCACTTTGCGCGGGTTGAGTGCTCGCAGTGAAACCGCGGTCTGGTACCATCGCGTCTATGGGAAGCGAGTCGATGCATGGAAGCACATCAAGGTTAACACTGTTGCGACTTATTTACTTGTAATGAGTGCGATTTTGCTGCTAAAGAGAAGTTGTGGGTGTAGACAATTGACACTTTTTTTTGACGAATCGAAAATCGAATCCGTTGTAACGTTGAACTCCATACAACATAAGGCTTTCCGACATAAAAACTGACAAATTTTGCAACTCGTCTATGGGAGCTGAACAGTCTGATATGGTGACGCCAATCACTAGGAAACAAAGAACTATAGAAACTTCAATCAGGTGAAACCTAATTTTGCTACAAAACTGGAGGCTGATGTGTTGTCGACAATTCAGTAAAAAAATGATCGTGGAAAAACAAGAGCTTCCGCTATAAAGTAATTTAGAAGATCGTCAATATAAAGAACAAAGAACAAGAATGAGACCGATCTAGAAAATAAAAAATCTATAGGTGCCTAAGGTATGGGAGCGGCACTTGAGACGTCAAACGTCAGCGAGACTTCAGGGGTTAGTAGTAGTTTCGCACGATTTTCCTTCGCACGAATATGCGAAACGTCCCCTTTTCAATAATATTATTTTTTTTAGTAGGCTCGACTCTTTTTTGAACTAGTAGTATGCGATTACTAGTTCTGAAAGGGGTCAATTCGCACCCGTTTTTAATACTTTTGATATATCCGGGCGAAACGCCTACTAAAAGAAAAATATTATTGAAAGGGGTCGTTTCGCACATTCTTGCGAAGGAAAATCGTGCGAAACTACTACTAACCCGACTTCAGATGTTTCAGATTTGTATGCTCTATCACGTCATAACATGTCAATATTGTCAATGTCACTCCTCCCTCGCCCCTCCCATACGTCAGACACTGACTGACTTAGGTTAACGCTACACCTACAGATGTTAAACAGATTTTTAGCTGTGTTATCTAGGCACTTTCAGACTTTCCAATATATTCAAAAGTGGGTGAACATTAAATATAAAATTTTCGAATGATTTCCTTTCCGTCGTCGATCAGATAGACTGACGGCTTTCGCAAAGTTAATCTGCATTGAGATAGCTGGCTTTGGAATGTTTAACTGCAATTTGTCTAGCTCTAGCATGGAAATGATAATTAATTAATAAAAATCTAATAACAGACAACACAAGTAAATTACTGTTCTACGACCAGTGGAATCAAGGGTACATAAACCATCCGGATAGAAATTTCATTTATTCATTTTATGAGTTACTTTAAATCCGCCTTCGTTTATTTCTATTATATCTAACAGCTGTGATTCAGTGCCCTTTTTTTGATATTCTAACTCGGACACCTCCCAGACTACTGCTTTTTGATGGCCAATAAGAATCGGCTGTTCCAAATCGTTATAATGTGCGCACTTTAATTATGTTCATACTGATTACAGGTTACCATATCGGCAACCTAAAAATACCTTAAACCGTCAGACCACCTTAAAAACATGCAGCCCGACCAAACTATCTGCCGACAAAAAGTCTGTAGTGTCTTATTTAGTCCCCTTTTTGACCCAAAACACCTCTTAAGAAGCTCTACCTTATATGTCACTCCAGAAGTAACCAATAGTAGCCCTGAAAATTATCTTCGGTGCTTTTTCTTAATCAATCAATAGGCTAAAGCCTGTATTGACAAACGATGTTTGCTTAAGTGAAGCAGCAAATCGAACGTGCAGCGTTGAATAGAGGGTTCGTCTGTGACCCTATGCGTCCACGCGCACTGTGAGACCTCATAGTAATGTTTGTGAATGCGGGCGTAAGTGCATTTCGTATTGTAGCATATATCGCCTAAAACTCCCATTTTAAAATCTAACAA